TCCCAACTTTCTGCTCCACATGAGTGTCACCATAGAGACAGAAAGTCTTCCCGGTCATGAATGGCCATGTTTTCACCAACAAAAAAACACCCCTTGAAGCGTGTTTCCTTCATTTGTGTCCCTGTGTGTGTTTTTTAAAGAACTGTGGGACTGAATTCATTTGAATTCATTTGCAGTATTTTTTATTGATTTATGGGAGTTACTTTTATCAGCATCAGCATGAAGTTTTATATTTAACCTTAAAAAAATAGCCTCTGTCAGTGGCAGCTTTATCAAACTGGTACCAGTTTCAACTCAAACAGATAAAATACCCTTCAAGCTGGAAAACGATTGGCTAATCTTTATGTGCGTTTGAAGAAAAGAGTGTAAACACTGGAGCAAACTGATGGGATTGTTGCACAGAAATTATCATATGAATAGGTGTCGCCACACTGCCTGGCGCTTTGATGGGTCCAAAAAAGGTCATTTCCCACAGCACTGCTGGCTCAACCCGTCACTGACGTGGTGCCTTTTTTTCTATTTGTGTGTGTGTGTGTCTGTTTTGTCTATAGCTGAGCTATTCCATTCAGATGGGAATGACATCTCTTCTCCAAGTCACTGCTGGTGAATCACTTAGAGGATCCAGGAACAGAATTTTTRTCTTTATTCTACGACGCATTGCTGTAGCATCAACAATAACTGTCGAAGCCAAACTTTTTCTACATGTATGTTTAATATGAAGGTTAATGATGTATTATTTTTAATTCTACAAAATAAAAGTAGACAACTAAAAAGTGATGGATGATTCTGAACATTTATGATGTTTTAAGTATGTTTCTGATGAAGCTATGTCAGAACCACAAACCCAGTTTTCCTCCTCTTTCCCGCAGAAGTAAATTGAGCCGGCTGCACTGTATCTCTGCGTTTTCATTTTATTTTCAACAGTCAGGATAAAGACCCGGTTATTGTCTCTGGGTGGGGAGCTGGAATGTGCACCACCCAGGAGGTCATTTCTCCTGCCGTTGGATTTAACGTTCACGTGTGTGAGGACAGTTTGACCTGCTGTGGTGTGATAGGAAGATGAGGAGCTAAGATGTCCAGTTTTTTTTTTTCTTTTACTGAAACCTGCCTCATTTRTAGGTTTTTGTTTCCACTGATGGAAGGGAGCAGCTCCAGGGTTTCCAAYGACCCTTGGATTTGAGCTCAGAGTCCCCAGCAGTCACATGTCATTGCCAGGTTTTAAGCAAAATCTGCTTTCTGTCACCTTTCAAAAATGCAGGCAGGTTTTGTCTGAAATGTGCCAGGTATGATCTCATCAAATGACTTGGACACCTTTTTTTATCMAATTCTCCACATTTTTTCATGATTCTCCTCATCCCCAATCAGTTTGAAGACATCAGGCTCATGGATTTTATCACAACTTCCAACTGGTAAAACACATTTTAGATATAGCAACCTGAAAAAGCCAAAAACAAAGATGAGGCGATTAAAACTCCTTTGAAGCCACCTTATGTGTGGTCTGTGCTTCTGCCTTTTATGAAGAAAGGCAGYGAGGATGAGAGGAAAATTCAGACAAGATGGGACCTGCTCTCATGCTAATCTATTGCATGGTCTCCAGCAGACAAAACAAAGGGTATAACAGGGAGTGAGTTGGCCTACAATTCATTTGGTGATTATCTTCAGGCCATGGAACAAATAAACTAAAGATGAAAAAAAATTGAGCATGAGAAACCCACAACTAAAGACCAAAACAATCTGGGAAAGAGTACCTAAAAACCTGCTCCTATATAAACTCAGGGAGCTGATGACTAACAAGAAACAGGTGTGATAATTGAATAGTGAGACCAGGTGTGAGGGAAGGAGAACATTTCAAGTTCAAGTTTATTTATATAGCGCCAAGTCACAACATACATTGTCTCAGGGCACTGTACATAAAAAGAACAATCTAAACAAGAAAAATTTAAACCAACTGTCTGAAGCAAGCACCAGTTACAATAAAAAGGTATTACATAGAGCAGATCCCATAAAAGCAAAAATCCAACATATTCCAAAGCCTTACAAGTTCTACAAAACTAAATAATTTCCCACCAAATGTTGCCTAAGTAAAAGTGTTCAGACAATAATTTAATCAAAATAAAAAAGATGAAACATCTTCAACAATTAAAGCTTCTTCTTTGTTTGAAAATTTTCTACTATGATACATTTTAGGAGGTTGTGCAACAATAGAAAAGACTTTTTTTGAGACTATATTCAGATGACATCATTTTCATTTTCATTATATGAAAAGTAAATAATCAGAGTCTGAGACACTTGCCAATTAAACACATTGATGGGAATAATGGAAGTTCATTTAAATTTTTGGGAAAAAAATTGTCTTTTTACGCAGCGGGACTCAATTTTTCAAAAACTTTGCTACCCTAATGAATTCCAGTCAAAAGGAATAATGAAGTTGGGTTCACCAGAGGTTAAAAAAAAACTAATTCTCCACCTTGAATTCATTAAGATAGTCTATTTCACATTTTAAAAAAATACAAAACAAGCTCCTTTGGGTTTCCCAATTGATTACTGTTGTGTTGTTTCTGATTAACATTCAGTAGATCTGTGCAGTTCCAGTGAAAATGTCTGATTTGGTTCCCCTGACTCGTATCCTTTTCTACCAACAGTTCTACATTCACACAGCTCCTAATGAAGGAGAAAGTCACCACCGCCCWCTAACATCTGTCTTTTGTCTTCACTTGACACAAATGTTACCATTTACTTCTGATTCAGATTCCTCCAAACTGAATATTTACTGACTGCAGTTTCACTTATCAGGTATGCGTGACAAATGGATGGACACTTTATTACTGTAACATGTCCTGTTCTGCCAAAAAAGAAAAAAAAACTACTGTTGTGGTCCATTTGGACCTACTGAATGCCAGATTTTAAGTTGTGCTGAAGTTAGCAATGCTGGTTTCATTAAAAATGCATGAATGTGCAAATTTTTTTTTTTGTTTAAATACTAAACATTTCTCTTGTTCCAAACTAAGTCTGGCGTTGTGGAAAATATAAATAAAGCAGGACTGAATGAATTCCAAATCTCAACTCATATTTTATTCACAACGGAACATAATAAATACAGGAAATTTTTTTGTGAAAAACAAAAGCTGATTTGAATTTGATAGCAGTGCCACAATTTTCAAAAGTTTGGACTGATGCAACACAAGGAAGTGGTATAAACAAAAACAGCTGGTGAATCGTTTGGCAACTAACTGTGTTAATCAGCAACAGATCAGTGAGAGGACTGGGTATAAAAATACGTACAATTTAGAGAGAGGCTGAATATCTCATGTTCACTATTCTTCAAAAAAAGTATTTAAAAGTAGTGCAACAAATTTTAGAAAAAGGTTCCGTAACAAAAATAAATAAATAAAACAACTTGGAAATATAGTACTTTGAAAATCCACAGTTGATAATATCATCAAAGGATAAGAACCATGAAGTTGGTAAAAACAGGGCTGATTCTTTTATACTGTATCGGCTCAGGAACACTTCTGCAAATCCTTCCTCAAATGCAGGTTAAAGCTCTATCGTGCAAAAAAGAGGTCATAAGTGAACACTAACTAGAACAAGACATGGGTAGCATGTCATTGCAGCATGGCTTTGCCTGCAGCAGTGGACTTGCAGAATGAAATGTGACCAAGTTCAAATATGTTTTCTATGCCAGCTTGTGCCTGTCAAGTCAGCAGATGTTTGTAATTAAGGTAATTGTGTGACAATATGAAGTTTGTAGAACTTTTCTGTTAAAGTTGCTGCTGCTGGATTTCAAACCGTAATCTCCCACATGAAAGCCCACGGCACTAACCATGAGACCATTGGAGCTGTGGTAGAGGACAAGGGCAGGGTTTGGTTTGTGTGTGTGCAGAAAGTGGCCACATTGCCAATGTAATGGTTGTCACTAATTTGAAAAATATTACAACAATAAAGCAATATTAGGAAAATATTTTAGTAAAACATCAAAACACAATCATATTAGTATTGCAAACACTGAAGTATTGAGATTAAATATTATTAAACTATGGTGCAGTACTGAGTAGATACAGCAGGGGCAGTATTGGACCAATACAAGGCTCCATTGACTCCCATTAWAAATTATTAAACATCAATATTTCAAAAACTATAAGTTGTACAGTCACCAAAAGTCATAGCCATCATTTGGCACAGGAGCTTTACAGATATAAATTACAATGGCAGCTCCAGGACAAAATATGCAGGAGGAGAAGCGTGCCAAAGTGGAGATGACTTGGAWGAGAAACGAATCACAATAGTGTGCATTGCCATCAGAATCAGACAACAAACAACCTTGTCCCCTGGGCCAAAATAAACTTAAAATGGACGAGGCAAAGAGGTAAACGGGTCTGTAGTCATATAAATCTAAATTTCAAATTCCCTTTGAAACCAATGCCCTCCTTACTAAAGATGAGACGAACCATCCATCCTGTTCTTACACAGTTCAAAAATGTGCTTCTCTGATGGTATGGGGGTGCATTAGTGCCTCTGGCACAGACTTTTTCTTGTTTAGAAAGTCACCATAATTACCAAAAGTTTATCCTGGTTTAAGAACAACAAATGCTCCCATCCAGATGACATGTTTTTCAGGGAAAGCCTTACTTATTTCAGCGAGAYAATACCAAACTGCATCCTTTACAGCAGCATAGTGCTTACAGAGGGTTGTAAAAAGAACAGTAGATGCACCACTGTGGTAAACATCACCTTGTCCTAACTGTTTCTATTTCATTTACATTTTACCGAACACTTGTTCCAAATTGAGGTTGCGTGTAAGACAGAATTTGATTTTTGTGTCTTTATTTTTTCTTGCAATCAGTCAGAATCAGGGCTGAATGTGAATAACAGCCAGAAAAAAAAAGGAAGAAAGGAGGTTTTCTGTGCAGCTCTGTGTGCAAAGCTTCACAGGACCTATCATTACCAGATGTCACAGTAAAGAGGGGCTGCTAGCCAAAACACTGCCTGGAACTCCAGCTCTCTGCCTCTTTTTTCCTTTCTCTCCTACCTTCCCTCTCCTATTTTCTCCATTCACACTCTCCCCGTCCACTTTTCCCTCTCACACTCCCCGCTTTTCTTTTTCTTCCTTCCCTCTTCTCCACTTCCAGCTGTTTTTGGCGCAGGCAGCCAGAACGAGGGAAGTTCTCCACCAATTGTCTACGTCCAGAGAGAGGAGCTCAGGCGGTTTGGACCCCACCCCCCTTTCTGTCTCTCCCCTTTTCTGTGTCCTGTTGCTCCCCCTTTTTTTTTTTTCTCCTTGTGCATTTTTCTCTCCTCCCCTTGTTGTGAGAGAGCACACCTGCTTGGTTTTGGCTGCCTTGCGCTCCGATTCCAACAACCCCACAGGCCCTGTCAGACACTTTACAATCTCATCCTCCAAGTGGAGTGGATTTTGGAAAGTCAAGCTCATCTCACCGGCTTCACTTCTCCCCGTCTGGCTTCTCCTGAGAACAGGTAGGTCCCTCTTTTATTTGATGCAACTCTGAATTGGCTTTGAGGATCAACATTGAGATAAAAGACTTCTGCATCATTTTTATAGATTCATTTTTTTCTTCTTCTTCTTCTTCTTCTTCTTCTTCTTTCCGCAAGTGTGTTCGAAGATGAAAATCCCATCTAGTTCCCTGTCTAAATCTGTTTGAGTTGATTTAAAACATGCTTCTTTTTTATTTATTTTTTTATCATGAATTATATTGCTTGTGCTGTAATGTTCCAGATACGTTGCCAAGTCTCGTTCCCACGGCACTCTTGATTTTTCTGATGGAGAGAGGCTTTAATCGGTCCAGTCTGCAGGCAGCCCAGTGAAAAGAGCAGTGGCTCAGGAAAAAAGGGGGTGTGGTGGTCCTGCTCAGGCTGGTACTCCTCTTCTTTGCCAGCAAGTTTATTCTTTAGGCCTGTCAAAAAAGTTTCCAAAGTGTCCACAGAGGAGGTCCAAACGATGCTTTCAGATGTTTTTCTTTTTATTATTTTCACTCTGCAGCTTCAGCTTAAACATATTTGTTGATTCTGTGGAAATGGTTGAACTCGTTTATTTAGATTGGATCAATGTGTGCATTCTTCTGAGTTTCACAAATGTTTTTTAGTTTCCATTCTGTTCAGAATTTTGAAGCATATCGTGTTGATTCACCTCCTTATAGCTGGTTGGGACTTTGAATGGAAAACTTGTTTGTGGTGCTTTTGACATTTTTTCCATTTCAGCACTTTTTTTTAATTTTATGACTGCAACCAATTTATTCTAACCCCATCTGTCTGCTCAGCAGTCGTGTTTCTATTCATTGTGAACCCCCTGAGTCAGACGAGGACATTTTGCTGCTGTGTTTTCACAGAAGCAGACCCAAATTGCTCAAAGCAGCTATTTAAGTGAACGTCTTTGAACAGATGAATGAGGGTTTTACCTGGCCACACACAGTGTCATTAATCCTGTAACGGTGCCGCTTCCTCTATCAAAAAAAAGAGGTCTAAAAGCTTCCCAGCAAGCCACTACACAACTCTGAGGTAACTCATTACATCCTTTCTGCCAACAGGGAAAGATCTTAGTGAAGTGAAAGTGAAGGAGGAAACAACTGGGAGCAACCAAACCGAATTTAAAAGCACTTGGAATAGAACAAAGGCTAAGAATGGCACATACATTGTGCTCAAAAATAAACTCAGAGCAATAAAAGTGTTTACGCGTCTAAGGCTTAAAGGCTTGGAGGAGACTTCATTTTCCTTCATCTGAACTTCAGCTCTGAGTCAAAAACTAAAGGGATCAAATGGTTGTAAATAAAATCAGTTTTTTAATCTCTAAAATACTGTTCAGTGCAATCAGAAAGTTCAACACTTCAGCCCGTTTGAGCCAAAGTCTTAAAGCTGAAACAGAAAAAGGAAATACTGCAAGCTTTGGAGCAGCGTGGAGCACAGAATGGAAGGAGGGGATGGAGCAGGAGAGATAGTTGGGAACTTGGACCACATCTGAGTGTAAATGTGACTGAGGTTTAAACAGCTAAATGGTGGTGAAACCACTCGTTGATGCTTTAAGTGAATTAAAGCTAAATGATTGAATTATTTCTTGGCAGTAGAAACATTTACATTACTTGTGTTGGTCAAATAGATGTTCTCAGAGTAAAAACAACCAAGTCAAACCCCAAGAATCATTGGCACTTAAAAGGTTAGCTGGCCGTCTCTTTGCATATTTTACCATTTTGCAAATGACCTTTTRCATCTTACATGATTTATTTCTTAATAATCACAATTTTCACACAACCACATGGGAGGAACGCTGCCGCTCATTTGCCGATGGGTTGAAAAGGCCACACGTGTTTTAAATGTCCTGTGGCCTTGTAAATACCTTCCAGTGATTAACTGCCAGCAGACGCAGACCTGAGGGGAGTTACAGGAAAGAGAAGGTGGAGGCGGAGCCTGGCACCTTAATGTGCGCTTTCCGATTTGATTTGTTCAAATGAAGTCTTCATTCGGTCGGGCTTTACGCAGGTATTTTGCTGAGTTTCCGAGCGGGAACGTTTCAATGAGAGGCAGCCGGGGGGTGGGGGGGGAGAAGTGACAAGCAAAGAAAGGAAAATGACTCTCCGCCCTCATGCAAGCTCTGCTTCCTGTCTGGGAATCATTAGTAATGCTCCAGACAGATTTGGGGAGAGTGTGGAGGGACGGGCGAGGAATAGGAAATAGAAAGGGGAAGACGGGGGGAGGGGGGGTGAAAAGGATGCTGCTGCAACAGGAAACGTCATCCTCCACCTCTTTTCTCTTGGTCAGTCAGAAACTGAATGATTCATCACAGAATCTTCCTATTGGGTACTTTTGATAATAAATTTGTTTAAAAAAAAAACATCTTTGACATTTTGGTCATTTTTATTCTCTAAATGCACTACAAGGCAATAGATAAAGCTGATCAGTTTTGTGTCATGTTTTTGTGATTTTAGAAGTAAAACTTGCTTTTATTTCAAACTTTTAATCCCAACATGGTCTCTGAATCAGTGCTGACCTGAATTGCTCTGCAGGAACTTTGGGATTATAGCTTCATAAATAATGTACAACCATGCAAATTAAACAGGTGCTTGACGAACACGGTCTATACATTTTAATGGCCAGACAACCCAAAGAGGGGTGGGGGTATCGCATGAGATCATGGACTGTATTGAGAACATAAATGTACAAGGAGTTTTTTTTTTTTTTTTTTTGGTCTGTCTATACTTCCACAAATTATTTTTAAAATAAAAAAGGAAAAAAAATCCAATCTGCTCTACATTTGCCATTATTATGTGCTTG